GTATGCTTTGGTAATTTTAGCCGTTTCTTTATAAGGAAATATTTGGCATTCATTGACCGAGAAATCCAATAAGGACAGAGAGAGCAAGGATAATCAGGTCCAGGTATGCTATGGTAATTTTAGCCGTTTCTCTATAACGAAACATTTGGCATTCATTGACCGAGAAATCCAGTAAGGACAGAGAGAGCAAGGAAAATCAGGCCCAGGTAATTTTAGCCGTTTCTCTATAAGGAAATATTTGGCATTCATTGACCGAGAAATCCAGTAAGGAGGACAGGAAAAACCAGAGGTATGCTATGGTAATTTTAGCCGTTTCAAGGAAAATCAGGCCCAGGTAATTTTAGCCGTTTCTCTATAAGGAAACATTTGGCATTCATTGACCGAGAAATCAGTAAGGACAGAGAGAGCAAGGAAAATTTGGCCAGGTCCAGGTATGCTATGGTAATTTTAGCCGTTTCTCTATAAGGAAACATTTGGCATTCATTGACCGAGAAATCCAGTAAGGACAGAAAGAAGGAAAGGTCCAGGTAAAATTTTAGCCGTTTTCTCTATAAGGTCCAGGTATTGGAGAAATGCTATGGTAATTTTAGCCGTTTCTCTATAAGGGAAACATTTGGCATTCATTGACCGAGAAATCCAGTAAGGACAGAAAGAGCAAGGAAAATCAGGTCCAGGTATGCTATGGTAATTTTAGCCGTTTCTCTATAAGGAAACATTTGGCATTCATTGACGGAGAAATCCAGTAAGGACAGAGAGAGCACGGAAAATCAGGTCCAGGTAATTTTAGCCGTTTCTCTATAAGGAAATATTTGGCATTCATTGACCGAGAAATCCAGTAAGGAGCGAGAGAGCAAGGAAAATCAGGCCCAGGTAATTTTAGCCGTTTCTCTATAAGGAAGCATTTGGCATTCATTGACCGAGAAATCCAGTAAGGACAGAGAGAGCAAGGAAAACCAGGTCCAGGTATGCTATGGTAATTTTAGCCGTTTCTCTATAAGGAAACATTTGTCATTCATTGACCAAGAAATCCAGTAAGGACAGAAAGAGCAAGGAAAATCAGGTCCAGGTATGCTATGGTAATTTTAGCCGTTTCTCTATAAGGAAACATTTGGCATTCATTGACGGAGAAATCCAGTAAGGACAGAGAGAGCACGGAAAATCAGGTCCAGGTAATTTTAGCCGTTTCTCTATAAGGAAATATTTGGCATTCATTGTCCGAGAAATCCAGTAAGGAGCGAGAGAGCAAGGAAAATCAGGCCCAGGTAATTTTAGCTGTTTTCTCTATAAGGAAGCATTTGGCATTCATTGACCGAGAAATCCAGTAAGGACAGAGAGAGCAGAGGAAAACCAGGTCCAGGTATGCTATGGTAATTTTAGCCGTTTCTCTATAAGGAAACATTTGGCATTCATTGACCGAGAAATCCAGTAAGGACAGAAAGAGCAAGGAAAATCAGGTCCAGGTATGCTATGGTAATTTTAGCCGTTTCTCTATAAGGAAACATTTGGCATTCATTGACCGAGAAATCCAGTAAGGACAGAGAGAGCAAGTAAAATCAGGTCCAGGTAATTTTAGCCGTTTCTCTATAAGGAAATATTTGGCATTCATTGACCGAGAAATCCAGTAAGGAGCGAGAGAGCAAGGAAAATCAGGCCCAGGTAATTTTAGCCGTTTCTCTATAAGGAAATATTTGGCATTCATTGACCGAGAAATCCAGTAAGGACCGAGACGGCAAGGAAAATCAGGTCCAGGTATGCTATGGTAATTTTAGCCGTTTCTCTCTAAGGAAACATTTGGCATTCATTGACCGAGAAATCCAGTAAGGACCGACAGAGCAAGGAAAATCAGATCCAGTTATGCTATGGTAATTTTAGCCGTTTCTCTATAAGGAAACATTTGGCATTCATTGACCGAGAAATCCAGTAAGGACAGAGAGAGCAAGGAAAATCAGGTCCAGGTATGCTATGGTAATTTTAGCCGTTTCTCTATAAGGAAACATTTGGCATTCATTGACCGAGAAATCCAGTAAGGTCCGACAGAGCAAGGAAAATCAGATCCAGTTATGCTATGGTAATTTTAGCCGTTTCTCTATAAGGAAACATTTGGCATTCATTGACCGAGAAATCCAGTAAGGTCCGACAGAGCAAGGAAAATCAGATCCAGTTATGCTATGGTAATTTTAGCCGTTTCTCTATAAGGAAACATTTGGCTTTCATTGACCGAGAAATCCAGTAAGGAGCGAGAGAGCAAGGAAAATCAGGTCCAGGTATGCTATGGTAATTTTAGCCGTTTCTCTATAAGGAAACATTTGGCATTCATTGACCGAGAAATCCAGTAAGGAGAGAGAGAGCGAGGATAATCAGGTCCAGGTATGCTATGGTAATTTTAACCGTTTCTCTATAAGGAAATATTTGGCATTCATTGACCGAGAAATCCAGTAAGGACCGAGAGAGCAAGGAAAATCAGGTCCAGGTATGCTTTGGTAATTTTAGCCGTTTCTTTATAAGGAAACATTTAGCATTCATTGACCGAGAAATCCAATAAGGACAGAGAGAGCAAGATAATCAGGCCCAGGTATGCTATTTTTTAGCCGTTTCTCTATAACGAAAATTTGGCATTCATTGACATTCATTGACCGAGAGAGAAAAATCCCCAGGTAATTTTAGCCGTTTCTCTATAAGGAAGGAAAACCAGGACAGAGAGAGCAAGGTAGGTATGCTATGGTAATTTTAGCCGTTTCTCTATAAGGAAATATTTGGCATTCATTGACCGAGAAATCCAGTAAGGACAGAGAGAGCAAGGAAAACCAGGTCCAGGTATGCTATGGTAATTTTAGCCGTTTCTCTCTATAAGGAAACATTTGGCATTCATTGACCGAGAAATCCAAGGACAGAGAGAGAAAGGAAAATCAGGTCCAGGTAATTTTAGCCGTTTCTCTATAAGGAAATATTTGGCATTCATTGACCAGGAAATTTTCAAGCCGGCCCAGGTAATTTAGCCGTTTCTCTATAAGGAAATATTTGGCATTCATTGACCAAGAAATCCAGTAAGGACCGAGACGGCAAGGAAAATCAGGTCCAGGTATGCTATGGTAATTTTAGCCGTTTCTCTCTAAGGAAACATTTGGCATTCATTGACCAAGAAATCCAGTAAGGACCGACAGAGCAAGGAAAATCAGATCCAGTTAGACGGTAATTTTAGCCGTTTCTCTATAAGGAAACATTTGGCATTCATTGACCGAGAAATCCAGTAAGGGCCGTGAGAGCATGGAAAATCAGATCCAGTTATGCTATGGTAATTTTAGCCGTTTATCTATAAGGAAACATTTGGCATTCATTGACCGAGAAATCCAGTAAGGTCCGACAGAGCAAGGAAAATCAGATCCAGTTATGCTATGGTAATTTTAGCCGTTTCTCTATAAGGAAACATTTGGCTTTCATTGACCGAGAAATCCAGTAAGGAACGAGAGAGCAAGGAAAATCAGGTCCAGGTATGCTATGGTAATTTTAGCCGTTTCTCTATAAGGAAACATTTGGCATTCATTGACCGAGAAATCCAGTAAGGACAGAGAGAGCAAGGATAATCAGGTCCAGGTATGCTATGGTAATTTTAGCCGTTTCTCTATAAGGAAACATTTGGCATTCATTGACCGAGAAATCCGGGAGAGCAAGGAAAATCAGGTCCATGCCTTTCCCAAAAGTATCAATAAAAGTTTGGTAAGAGTTCTCAGTTCGTTGGTCCCTTTATATGTCATGTGAAGCGTGACACCAGACCGCCCTCCATCCCCTTCTGAAATATAATTGTTGAGATTATTTAAGTGAAGTGCAATAACTCCGAGGTCAGAAGGAAAGTAAAATATTTCATAAATTAAGAACAAAAATGAGAAAAGAAAAAGATAAAACAAAAACTAATGTCCATATTTTGCAGATTGGGTAGATGGTGGTGGGAATTGATGTGGGTGACTATCGGGGGGAGAGGTCGTTGGGTAGAGGCAGTTGAATGAACGTGCTGATGTCAGCGATGGTGGAACACAACGCATTAGGTAATTACTGTAATGAAAATGGAAATAATGGCGTTGTACAACCTTTCTAATGAATGTTGGCAATGGCGCGTGGCTCACCAAAAAAAAAAAAATCTTACCATAATTGAAGTACATATATGAAGTACACTTTGCTATTTGATAATTATCAAACCTCCCTCTCTCTCACTTTATACAACACACTTTTTCTTCTTCCTCGTCTTCAATTTCTTCTTATGCGTCTTCTTCTTTAGCTTCTTCTTTTTCTTCTTCTTCTTCAGCTTCACCTTCGTCTACTTCTTCTCCCTTTTTTTCTTCATCTTCTTCGTCTTCTTCAGCTTCTTCTTCTTCTTCTTCTTCTTCTTCTTGTTCAGCTTTTTCGGCTTCTTCCTTTTCATCTTCTTCTTCTTCAGCTTCTTCGGCTTCTTTTTCATTTTCTTCTTCAGCTTCTTCGTCTTCTTTTTTTCATCTTCTTCTTCAGCTTCTTTGTCATCTCCTTCTTCTTCAGCTTCTTTGTCTTCTTCTTTTGCATCTTCTTCTTCTTTTTCAGCTTCTTCGGCTTCTTCCTTTTCATCTTCTTCCTTTTCATCTTCTTCTTCAGCTTCTTCGGCTACTTTTTCATTATCTTCTTCCTCTTCTTCTTCAGCTTCTTCGTCTTCTTCCTTTTCATCTTTTCTTCTTCAGCTTCTTCATCTTCTTCCTTTTCATCTTCTTCCTTTTCATCTTCTTCCTTTTCATCTTCTTCCTTTTCATCTTCTTTTTTTTCTTTAGCTTCTTCTTCTTCAGCTTCTTCTTTTTCATCTTCTTCTTCTTCTTCTTCTTCTTCATTTCATTATTTTCTTCAGCTTTTTCTTCTCCGTCTTCTTCTTCAGCTTCTTCTTCGTCTTATAAGGATCTGAAGAAGAAGAAAAAGAAGAAGAAAAAGAAGAAGAAGATAAAATGAAGAAGCTGAAGATGATGATGTTGATGATGATGATGATGACGATGCTACTTCTTTTTCAGCTTCTTCTCCTCCTTCTTCTTCGCCATTTCTTCCCCTTCTTTTTCAGCCTCTTCTTTTTCACCATCTTTTGTTCAGTTTCTTTTTTAGCTTTTTTCTCTCTTTCTCTCTTTCTTGCGCTCTCTTGTTTGATTAAGCCTCTCTCTTTCCATCTCTCTTTTTTTGTACGACTGAGTATCTCTCCCCTTCTCTCTCTCTCTCGCCCATTTGTACGATTAAGCTTCTCTCTTTCCTCCTCTCTCAATCTCTTTAGTACGATTGTCTCTCACTCACTCACTCACTCACTCACTCACTCACTGACTCCCTCTCTCTCTTGTATACGATTATGTCACTTTCTCTCTCTTTCGGTCTCTTGCATGATTAAGTCTCTCTTTGATTCTGCTTTTTACTATCTTTGTCAGTTTCGTATCCCAGTTCGTGTTTATTTTTCGATCTCTCTTTTTTTTCTTTCCTTCTTATTTTTCATTTCTTTTGCCGTTCCTTTTTACGCCATCTTTTTCTTCTTACTTTCTCTTCTTTTGCATTTATCTTTTCCGTTTGCTTTGTATTTTTCTTCTTTTTCTCTTTTTTCTTCTTTCCCTGCTTTTTTCATTTTTTTCTTCTTTTTATCTTTTTCGTTCTCATTTCTCTTTTACTTTTATTTTTCTTCAAGTTTTGGTTCACCACTGCTGTGCGAGTATTGAGTTAAAGGGAAATAACTGAAACAGCCAGAAGAGGTATGGTACGTGGAACTAGAACAATCTACAACGGTGGACGATATAAAGGGTTGGGTTCGAAATTCCCATCATCTGAAGAAGGCCGGAGCATACAACAGCCGAAACGTTGTGAATATAACAACGAAAATGAGGTGAACAGTTCGAATAATGTAAACAATGCAAGTAATCATAATACCTCATATCAGATATAGATTTCCCTTTTGAATCGTCTGCTGTCTTTTTTTCATGAAAAATAATGAAATATTTTTTAATCCAAGATATTTTATTTTTATTTCAAACGTCATTTTCAGTGGATGCCCGTGTTTGAGTAGACGTAACTTTAAAAAAAAAAAAAATTGAACAGTACATTTATTCTAAGTTTTCTAGAGTGTAGAGGCCGGTAGATGAAATTGATAAAAAATCAGATCGTCTAACCAGATACGCGTATCTAGTAAAAACGTTTGAAATAATAAAATTATGTCGAATTTAAAAATAAACACTATTACTTGTTTTTAATAGTTTTTTGTTTCTTTCAAGAAAATCTGAACGAGAGAGTGTGTTTATTTATTTTTTTCAAGTTTCTTTCGAGAAAATTTAAAGTAGAGAGTGAGTTTTAATTGTTCTTTTTATGTTTTTTCGAGAAAATCTGAATGAGAGAGTGTGTTTTAATTGTTTTTTTTACCTTTCTTTCGAGAAAATCTGAACGAGAGAATGTATTTTAACTGTTTTTTTTTAAGTTGCTTTCGAGAAAATCTGAACGAGCCCCTTATTTTTAAGTTTTTTTCGGGAAAATCTGACCGAGAAAGTGCATTTTAATTGTTTTTTACCTTATTTCGAGAAAATCTGAATAAGAGAGTGTGTTTTAATTGTTCTTTTTTAACGTTTCTTTCGAGAAAATCTGAACGAGAGACTGTATTTTAAAAGCAAACAGAAGCTTGCTTGCTTGTTAAGCCATCCGTAGCCGAGAGGTCCGAGCAGCCAGGTGCAAAGGGGAACGCCTGTCCGAATCCTGTCGGAGACTACATTTTCTGTCAACTAAACATTGGAACACCAAGAATGCAGCGTCCCGAGGGTAGTATTCGGTTCGCCCTTGGTTTTCCAATTTCCGAAATGGTGGTAAGTAGCATATCGATATATATGTATATATACGGTAAAAATTCAAACGCCATTTTAAGTGGATACATCTAATTGAGCAGACGCCCCGCTTATTTTCAATAGTATTTATTTCGTCTACCGGGTCCTGTTGTTGAGAAAACCTAATAAACTAAATTATTCTCGAGCACTCCTGGCCGGGAGACAAATAAAAACCGTTAAAAATAAACGGGGTTCTACTCCAATTTGAATTTTACAAATGAGTATGTTGAATTAAAAAAAATGCATTAATTTATATATATATATATATATATATATATATATATATATATATATATATATATGCAGCAATTTTTCATTGATGCATGTTTTATTAAATAATATAGACAAGTTTTGTCTATTTATTTTAAGTAAGTTTCTTTTATAGTGTCTGATAAGCTTAATAACATTATCATTGAAAGACGAAAGGAAATCACCATATTGATACATGTTTAAATCCAGTCTAAGCTTTCGGCTTACATAAGCCATTATCAAAGATGACAATTACATTTCAATAAACCAAACAAAACACGGAAGAAACAATAATGATAGTCTGTTTTTGTTGCATGAAAAATTTCAAAGCAACGACAAAATCGTGTATACAAGACGCGGAAGCAAAAATCGTGTCGCAGCTCGTGACGTCACACATGGCCACGCGAGAGTGAAAACGAGAAGTATTAAATATGGGAAGCCGTTGGTATAAACCAATGCCTTCTGTTATCAATTATAGGCATTTAAGAATATTTGTGGAGACTTCATAGTTTATTTTGTTCATGTTAGGTTTCAACTGTTTTATGTATATAGCTTCAAGAATTTTTAGTTTTTGTTTATTGTTTTCATGTTTAAGTATAGTTGTGTTTTCAACAAGGATTTTCCGGAATTGTGTATGCGGCCAGGCATGTTATTTTAAATGCCTACAAATATTAGAGTTATCATTCAAATGTAGTTTCAAGCGTAGTGAAAGCGAGTTTGTGGTATGACCAACATAAATATTATTTAATCCATTGGAGATAAAATCTCACAGAAAGCACTTGAATTTTTAGACTGTGTTGGTTTTTTGCAATTCTCTAACGGGGAGGTGGGGAGAAGAATCATTGCGAATAATTAAGTTGGATATACTAGATTTAGTGTAGTATATGATTAACCTAATTTTTTTGCTAGGGTCTATTGTAGATATATTAGTGTCTACTAATTTTTTTAGTATACTTTCATCTTGTTTATAATTAGTATTCATTTGACTGCTATATAAGAGATTAATATGTTTGGGATTAGTTAAACCAAAATAGTTTACAAATTCAAGTGCCCTTGAACTCTAACATTTTTAGGCATTTAAAACAACATGCCTAGCCGCGTACACAATTCCGGAAAATCCTTGAATTACACCAGGAAGTAGAGGTGTTAAAATGTGCTCAATACACGTATGAAGAAAAAATAAATTAAAATAAAAAAATTAACATGGAGAGCTTTTAAATTTAAAAAAAAAAAAAATAGATCAGCCGATCACGCTACCTTGGTTTCAATGTTTCAGTATCTTCAGGCGATCCATATATATATATATATAATTTCCTAACGCTTTATTATTTAAAATAAATAAATATACACAACATATAGCATGACAGAGGGGGGGAAAAAGCGAGGACTGAACTCCTAATATTTTTAAATGCATATATATATATATATATATATATATATATATATATATATTTAAATGTATTTAAATATATATATATATATATATATATATATATATATATATATATATATATATATATATATTAGAAATTATTTAATATTTTCCGTTTGATTTTCTGTCCTGTCTTATATAAATACAAATCTAAATTCAAACTTTCAGAGGGGAGAGAGTTTAGGGTTAGGGTTAGAATAGACGTACAAAGATGTATTCGAGGAAATGTTGAAAAGTACACGCATCAATCAGAAGACATTGACTAAAGAATTCTGATGTTTCGCCGTTTGTAGAGGTTCTGCGGTTTTGGTAGTGCTGAGCACTTATCAGTAGCGAATTGTCTAGATTTATTTTACTAAATTTCATCCAATAGAAGCCTCGCAAGCCACTCAAAGGTTAGGGTTACAGACAAAATGGTAATAATTAATAAAGTTTGTTATATAAATATCAGGTCATCCCATAAGTTCTGTCCGAATTTTAACTTTTTGTTAAAATGAACGAAATTTAAAGAGTATTTTATAATGTCTAATGGAGCTGAACATTATTTTTATGTTTAGATGCATTTAAACTGATCAAATTTTATTTCAGAGAACAATAAAATTAAATTTTGTTTGATTAAAACCCTGCTAACATGGAAGTACCCAAGAATCATTTGAGGCACATAATGCTTTATGAGTTCAAGAAAAGAAACCAGCAGAAAGTGGCTAGAAACATTCACTCAGTTTATGGAGAGGAATATGTGAATGAAAGAACTTGCAGAAGATGGTTTGCAAAATTCAGAGGTGGAGATTTCACCCTTGAAGATGAAGATCGAACCGGACGTCCAGTTGAGTTTGATGAAAAGCTTCTTGAAGCAGCCCTTGAAGAAAATCCTGCTTTATCAGTTGAGGAATTGGCAGTGGTTCTCAGTTCAAACCATACAACTGTTCATCGTCATCTTCAACAACTTGGAAAAGTTCCTAAACTTGAAAAATGGGTGCCTCATGAATTGTCTGAAAACAACCTCAAATCCCGAGTTGACATCTGCTCTTCTCTCCATTCTCGCCAACTTGTTTCACCTTTTTTTGGATAGACTTTTGACTGGCGATTAATAATGGATCTTTATCGAAATGTTAAGCGTCGTGAACAGTGGCTTGGTAAAGGGAAGGACCCCATCCACAGCCGAGAAGGGAACTTCATGGGCAAAAGGTTCTTCTTTCAATCTGGTGGGATCGTCAAGGAATAATCTACTTTGAATTCTTACCACCTAATGCAACAATTAATGCTCAAATATATTGTCAGCAATTAGATCGTTTGAACCAAGCTTTGAGAAAAAAAGACTTGCTCTAGTGAATCGAAAAGAGGTGACGTTTCATCAGGACAATGCGCGACCCCACACAGCAAGAATAACGTTACAAAAGATCGAAGAACGTGGTTGGGAGAAAATTCCTCATCCACCTTATTCTCCCGATCTTGCTCCTTCAGACTACCATTTGTTTCGTAGCTTAAAGAATCATTTGGAAGAAACAGCTTTTGTAACACAGGAAGAGGTTAAAACTGACATTTGAGAGTTCTTCGAAGCCAAAATAATTTTACAGTAATGGAATTAGTAAGCTTGTTAATAGATGGAAGGAAGTCATAGATAATGAGGGAAAATACATTATTGATTAAATCTGTAATTAAATGTAACATTTGGTCACTTGTTTTCTTTATTCAAAATTCGGGTAGAACTTATGGGATGACCTGATAGAAGAGAAGATGACAGGAAGAGGAGATTTTGGTCATAAATAGGATAGCGATTGACTATTCTCTTGAATGTGTCAACATTGAAGTTTTCATGCAAGCACCCACATTGGAATCTTCTGGAGAAAGCCATGGATGAAACTTTCTGCTAACATTTGAAACAG